ATTCAAGCTTAAGTTCTCATGCTTGCATAGCAAGCATTCTTACCCACTGAACCGTCTCTCCATCCCCCAGCTGCAGGTACTTACAATGAAAACCAGCCTGGACCACTTAGTGACCTGCAGAGCAGCTTGGTTAATAGCAGGCACTTGCCTTGCAAGTGGGAAGACTTCAGTTCTGTCCTTAGAACACACGTAGAAAGCAGAGCATGGTGGTACATGTTTGTACCAGTAACCACAAGATGAGAGGCAGAGGGAGGTGGATCTTGGGAGCTCCCTGGCCAGCAAAGCCTATCTGGTGAAGTTCCAGGCTAATGAGAGATGCTGTCTCAAACAAAAGGTGGAAGGCATCTGAGAGACGACACCCAAGGGTAGCCTCTGACTTTAATTTAATGGGTGAATAGATTGTTACACATCTACCAACCATCATTTGATGGCTATTATTCCTGTTGCTATGGTCTGAATTGGGTGCCCCTGCCACAATCATATAGAAGCTCCAATTCCTAATGAGGCCCATGAGGAAGTAATAAAAATTAAATAAGCTCATATGTGGGGAGGAGCTGATCTAATAAAGCTGGTGTCTACATGGACATAAATAGTTATATAACAGTTACACACACACACACACACACACACACAATACAAAAGAAAAATGTAGCTGCTGTTTGTTGAGAATCTATTGTCTTAGGTTTTATTTAAGTTATAAGCATTTACCTTTGTTAATCTTTACTGAAGGCTCATGGCTGTGCCAGCTTTCTATCATAGTAACAAATAACCTGAGACACTCAGCTTAAAAAGTGAAAGCAAGAGTTTCCTTTGGCTCACAGTTTTGGAGGTTTCCGACCATGATTGGTTGAGCCCTTTGCTTCTGGGGCCTGCGGTGGGACAACACTTCACACAGAATGAAACTGTTCACCTCATGACCAGAAATATAAGAGGAGACAGGACGGGTCAGGGTCTCAGGCTCTCCTTCAATGGCATGCCTCCCAGTGACTCCAGTGCTTCCCACCTGGCCAACTAACACATCCCTATAAAGTCTAATTATGCAGGTGAGGTTGTAGTTTCGAACTTGAGATCACTCTTGTTGTTTCAGACACAGGAAGACTAACACTAGGGGTTACTTACGAAATAACAAAGCCAAAAAATGTAGATTTTAGAGACCTGTAGCTGGATCTCAGAGTCACTATAGTAAGTGGTGTTTCAACTGTGCGACAAGAACCTACAGAGATACTACAGAAAACCATGGCCAAGGTCACAGCTGCTTGGATCCAGGAAGCTGGGCGAGAGCTCAGTGAGACAGGTCCTTGTAAAGTTCACATCGGCCAGCATGTCCACACCATACGCCACCACTGCTTGGAGAGTGGCACCTTCGTTCTTCTCCCTCCAAGGAGTCAGTCTGCAGAGCCCACATCTGCCCATCCAGCATTTGAAAAGGAAAGGTCCCTGGCAGATGTAGCTTTCAGACTAATGGCCCTTGAAACCTGGGGATAGAGACATAAGCAGGTGCTGCAGAAGTGATGTTGGATTCCCTGGAGCTGGAGTTACAGACAGTTGCTGGAAACCAACTCAAGGCCCCAGGAAGAACAGCAAACACTCAGCCACTGAGCGGTCTCTGCAGTCACAATAGTAGAGAGTTTTGCAAAAAAA